TTGATTTATTTGACAGAGAGAGAGCACAAGCAGGGGGAGCAGCAGGCAGAGGGAGAGGGAGAAGCAGACTCAGGGCTTGATCCCAGGAGCTTGGGATCATGGGATCATGACCTGAAGCTAAGGCAGACGCTTAACCGACTGAGCCACCCAGGCGTCCCCCGACAGAACAGTTCTTAGTGGCATTTTGTGCCTCTGAGGGTACAAGTGGAATCCATATAGACTCAGCCCACCTCTGCACTGCCACAGTTCCCTTGTGCTGGCTCATTCCATGAACCCAGGTGGCCCTCTCAAGCAGGTGCACCAGGATTTCCATTTGTTGATTCCAGTCCTCTTCTGGTCCCAGGAGGAGGTTCTCCTGATGGGCCTCACCATGTCTTGCTTTAACGCACACCTGGATTTCTCATAGTGATTTCCACAGGTGGTGCCACCAGACAGGTGTCTCTTTAGTAGGCCAGTATTTCATTGTCCTGCAAAAAGCGGAGGTGCGCGTACTTTTCATCCTGGTAACATAACCGTGCCCCACAGAGGCCTGGTGGCCTGGGACGTGGGAAGAATAGCTGCCTGGGCAATTACAGCATTATGTTCCAACACGAGCTCTACCACACACATACTTTATTCCTGTGGCTCGTCACCTAACCTCCCTGTTTCAGTGCATGGGTGTGAGGATCGCAGATGACAGAGGTGAAAAATTGTTGGAAATGACAACGTGCCATACAAGTAAAAAAATTATTAGACTGATGACTGATTTTAAAATAAACACGTCAAATAGTAACCTGCGTGTAAGTATCATCCCCTTCAAAGTTGTTCTTCTAGAAGTTGGGTACTCCTCTCATGGTTCTTCGTAAAAGTTACTCGCTTTCTGACTTCTTTCGTGTATCATTCATCTTATTCATTCACTTATTCACCTAACATGTCTTGACTAATCACCACGTACCAGGAACTGATTAAGGAGTGGAGGTTATGCTACAAAGACATAAAAGACCAGTCCTTGACCTTGGCAAGCTCATAAATCCATTAGCGGAAGCAGGTGCCCCAGTAAAGCTCGCTTAGCCCCCTGCGCCATGGTAAGAATAGAGTGGTGGACAGTAGCACCCACAAAAGCCCGACAGCTCAGAAGACTTAGCTGAACTGCCTCAGGAACAAGTCATTTTGGTTACACTGTCCCTTCCTGGAGTGGATGGAGGGCAAGTGGGGGGGAAGACGGGTGGGTGTGTAGGACAGCCTGGGCGTGCACATTAGACTAGGACCCCTGTGAGCGCGGCTTGGCCATCAGGAAAAAGGTGTTTGGAGCTTATCGGAGATGTGGGCCGAGCGTCTGGGGGCCCATTCCACAGAGGCTGCGCTGTCCTGGAGGTGAGTGTGCCCTCCTCCCTACGCACCCCCACCCCCACCCCTATATCCCCGGGCCTGGGGCAGGGCCTGCCATTAAATGACTAGAACCAGAAGACAAAAGCCTCCGGTGAGGAGCTGGGATGTGAGGGTGCCCACAATCCTTCCTTCCCCCAAACTTCGAAAGCTTGTTTCCCTTTATCTGACTGGCTTCTGAGCAAGCCCAAGCACAGCCCGGGCGAGGCTGGAGAAGGCGGACGGGGAGAAGGCAGGCCGGCGGTTACTGGAAAGGGCAGCTCTGCAACTCCCAGACTGCATTGCGAAGGTCTGCCCTTGCCCGCGCCCGAGTCCAGAGGAGAGAGCATCAGGTTTGCAGGAGCCCTGCACTTGGTTTCCGGTCCCGACCATGCCGCGGACCAGTTATGTGACCTTCCTGTCACTTTCCTCGCGTCCAGGATAAACTCACTGCGGCAGCGACCTAGCTCTGCGTCCCGCTCGGGCTGCGATTCCGCCTCCCACCAACAGGACGGGCGCGGGCGCGTCCCCTCTCCGGCCAGCAGATGGCAGCACCGCTTCCTGGCTGTGGCCGCGGCCGCCGCCGCCGCGGGGACAGAAGTTCTGGTCCAGCTACGGGCTCGCGTCTTGAGACCCTTAAAACCACTTCCGCTTCCACAGCGGCGGCCCTGGCCACCTCCCGCAGCATCGCTGGAGAAGGTAGATTCGGCGGAGAATTCCTTTTAGGAGAAGGCACCTAATCCATGAAGGCTTCAGGAGGAAAGGAGAAGAGATGATACCTCCTTTTTTTTTTTTTTTTTTTTTGAACATGAGCCCTTGACGCCTCCTCTGGCAAGTCCCTGAACTCGTGGAGGGCAGGGGCTCTGTCATCATTCTCTACCTCCAGGCCTGGGCCCAGTGCCTGGGCAGACAGGAAGTGCTCAGAAAGTGCTTGCAAATTGGTGAACGTATTAACATTTTCATTTGATCATCTCAAGTTCACTCTTACAGGCACCCTGAGAAGTAGGAACCTATTATTTACTGAATGAGTAAACTGTGTGGACCCTCATGGAGATGAACAAAAGTTATTTAGCATCGGCAGCAGTGGCCGGGATCTGTGCTGGGGCTGAAAGGACGGAAAAGGACCCGTCCGCATGGTGGTGACACACATGTAGGTCCGGGACCTCACTGGATGGATCTCCATACCGCCAGTTGCTAGCTTTGTGTCCTTGGACAAGTTAACCTCTTTGTGGGGGCAGTTGCTTTATTTTAAAATGGGGATGATAATAGTATCCACCTTAAAAGGTTGATACGAGTTAATTCAGGTGAGGCACTCAATTCTGGAGAGGGAACAAACAGGCAATTAAAATTCAGGGTCCAGGGGAGCCTGGGGTGGCTCAGCCGGTTAAGCGACTACCTTTGGCTTTCTAGGAAGCTTCCTGGAAGAAGAAAGAGGACTCAGCCAGGGGAAGACTTGCCAGGCTGGGACCTGGTATTCAATGCTGGAGAAGTTGTGGAGGCCAGGGAGAGCCCGGGCCTCCCATGTGGTCGGAACGGAGCTCCACTGAGCCGGGCGGGTGTGATGAGGACCTGGGAGCCGGGTGGGGTCAGCATCGCTAAAGGCCTGGTGGTCCGGGCGGCTTAGGGGTTGGGCCCTTATCCTGCCAGCCCTACGGGAGGCACTGACTTTACTGAGGAAGTGCATGGACCACATTTCTGATTTTAGAAAGACCACCCCTTTGTGGACCGTGGGATGGAAGGGAGCTGGGCCCACATGAAGGCTGGGAGGTAGTTGCTGTCTGTAGGCCTGGAATTAGGATGGTCTGCAGTAGAGAAGGGGCAGTGGAGACAGAAGTCGGGTCTTTGATTTGAGAGATACTGGAGGAGGTAGAACATTTAGAAATCTTGGATTGGCTTTTCAAGGAGGATGCTCACAAGTAACAAATATGTAGGGAGAAGCCCAGTCAAGCAGGGACTGGGGAAGTTTCGAACACTTGTGTCTTCCCAGGACTTTCTGAACGGACTATTACATCATTCCCTCTTGCCTCCACCCCAGCCCCAGCGCCCTCAGGATCACTTGCTGGTGACCCGGCTTCCCATCTCTTAGTGCTGCTGGTCACTGCTCATCTCCAGTGTTCTCTCTCCAGCTGCCCCTCCCCCCCCCCAGTCACTATATTCTGCCAAAGCCCTTTCCCATTCTCCCTAACCCTCCTCAGACCCTCCTGGCCATCTTCATTCCCACTGCTGCGGAAAATCCAGTTGGTGTGTGACTGAGCTCCGCAACAACCACATAATGAATTGCTCTGATGAATTCAGATTGTCACCCTCCACCAACTGGCAGGGTGAGCTTGCTCACCTACAAATCCCTGTTTACTACTCCTCTGCCTAAAACTCTTTGCCTTCAGGACAACATCCCAGTTTCTTAGCCCAGACTGCAAGGCTTTCGAGGCTTGGCTCCCTGCCAAGTCCGATGCAGTCACACTGGCCTCTCTCTCTCTCTCTCTCCAACCCCCGCCCCAGCCTGAACCTTTGGGCTGTCCCCTCCACCTGGAACGGACTTCACCAGTCTTGTGAGCGTGTGGGCGGTGCAGCTCAGGAAAAGTCTGCCCGCTCCTGCAAGGTCTTCGCCAGCGCTGTCCAGCAGAACTTTCTATGACGAAGGGAAGGTTCCATCTCTGCACTTGTCCAATACGCTCCAATACCACATGTAGCTACTGAGCACTTGAAGTGTGGCTAGTGTGACTGAGGATTTGAATTTTAAGTTCTATTTAATTTTAAATAATTTCAATGTCAATGGCTGCATGTGGCCACTGGCTACCATATAGCACAGTGCAGTAACTTCATTAACCTTAAAATGCCAAGGCAGAACCTCCAAACATTGATCGGGAACATCTGTATAGCAAAGAATAATACCAGCTTGGATCAGAGGGGAGTTATTAATATGTAAGAGAAAATGTATCACGCTGGGTAGGCTAAACCTCTTATCAAGATGTATTTC